TATAATAATAATAATAATAATAATAATAATAATAATAATAATAATAATAATAATAATAATAATAATAATAATAATAATAATAATAATAATAATAATAATAATAATAATAATAATAATAATAATAATAATAATAATAATAATACTAAAAAAAAAAAGACACGAGGTCGCGTGCCGACTCGCGAGCTGTCGAACAACTATATTTGGGCTCGAGCTCGAGTTCGAGCCTTTGTCGAGTCGGCTCGTCGAGTTCGCGAGCCGGCTCGGCTCGTTATCACCCCTAATGGCGACATCATTTTCGTTGAGATGAATCCCGGAAAACTAAGAAGCTTTGCAGTTGAAGAACGTTGGATTTTTGCGATCCAATGTTTGAAAAGTTTTTTTTTTTTTTAAATCGCAATAACTTTTAACATGACAAAAGAATTCACTTCATCATACTATCGGACAGTTTTTTGAATTTTAAGTTCTAGTAGCATTGCACTTTAACCATTTGGGGGGTTTTGTGAGGAGATCTCTGGCCAACCATCTTAATTATTTTAGATATAGGTGTTATATATATTTTGTCAATAATCGTATTTCTTTAATATGTCTTATAAATAAAGGTAAATTTAATGTATATGACAAAATTACTCCAAATTCTTTAAACTCAATTTTTAATTGTAACTCCAATTCAACTTCAATTTCAACGATTTTGACCCCAAAAAAATCAATTTTGACTTTTTTTTTTCAATTTTGTTTTTCTTCCCGCCCGACGCTAACCGGACGGTAATATTACTGTGGTTGACAGTAAAATTACTGTAAACACAATAATAATACAGTCAACCACATCAACGTAATAATATTATTGTCTACTATTGTAATATTGTTGTACTTGATAGTAAAATTAGTATAACCACAATAATATTACTCTCAACTACATAAAAAAATGGTTTTTTTTTATTTTGATTGATTTGTTGACCGGTTAATATTACTGTCTACTATTGTAATATTACTCTCCTTGACGGCAAAATTACTGTAAACACAATACTATTACTGTCAACAGCAGTAATATTACTAATATTACTGTCAACAACAGCCATATTATTCTTTTTGATTTTTTTTCTTCTTATTTTTACCTTTGTTGGCCGATCAACATAATAATATTATTGTATTACACAATAACTTATTATGTAACATAGTGATTTTGTTGTGTTAATATTACTGTTCTAGATAGTAATATAGCAATATAATTGTGTTAAACAGTAATATAGTTAAAATTACAGTGAACCACAGTAATATTACTGTTTTTTACGGGGGCCAAAATATGTTCAGAAAAAAAAAAAATCAACGCCGCCGAAGACCGGTCAGCGGAGGCACAACACGAAAAAAAAAGAAAAAAAAAAGTCAACAGCGTTGGCCAAAATTGGGTTAGGGTGAAAATTAAAAAAATGGTGAAATTTAGGGTTAAATGGATGAAATTGGAGCATATTAAAATGTGAGGGAAGATCTTAGTCTTTTACACACCTCTGTACTTTGTCTAGACTTTTTTGTAAGAAATTTTTTGATCTGTTTTTACCTATGAATAAGTAGTCCATGATAGACTTGTTTGTAAACCCCTAACCATTTTTTGGGACTTCTTCGACCCTACACCCAGTGATAAACACTAGGTGAGTCTTCTTTTATCCGTGGATTTTTTGTATTTTATAATATATTCTCCTACTTAAGTTAACATGTACGGGTTTTAGAAAAATTCAAAAAATGCCACGTGGCAACAAAATGTCCACCCAATGTTTATCACGAAGTGTAGAGTCGAAGGAGGCTTTTTTGTCATATGTGGTAATTTTTCGTATTTGTATGATTTAATAATAATTGATTCAACCATCATGTTTTGTATTGTGATATTAAAAATTAAATCATGGCAAAAAATTCACCATAAATTCATTTTTTATTTATTTATATTGTTTAAAACTTTCTTCTATGAACTAGTTTGAAACTATTCGAGTTAGATTAGACAACCGTGAAAAAGATCACCAATCTATATTTTATGAAACTTTTGATTTATTGAACATCATACTAAAAAAAATTAATGGGAAGTAACCTGAATGTAGTGATGGTATTTTTCTAGAAAATGTTCTTATTAGATGCTAGTAGGGACGGAAATCGGACGTATTGGATCGGAAATGACTTTTTCAAAAAAAAATCCAATTTTTTGGAAGTAAAAAATGGGTTTCAATTTTCGTTCGGAAAAAAGGGAACGCAAAAATTCATTTTGATTTCGGAATGCCTCGCCGACAGAATTTTGGAAATTACATTAGTTTATAATCTCTTATTTCAAATTCGGATATAATGAAAAATTTCATAATATTTTTCTATATTTTTTAAATTTTTGCTAGGAAATGCAAGAAAAATGCAAAAAGTATTCGACAAAATACAATAAATAAAGACACACATGTAGGACCAATAAATTGAACATAGATTTTCTTATAAGGAAAAATGCAATATAAACTTTCTGCTACCAATTATTATGTTCTAAGGTTTTAATTTACTTGACCTTTCGTAATTTATATTTTTCATATAAAATATAACATAAGTTATAGTATATAATTATAAAATATATCATAAAATTATATTATATATCTCGAAAATTCATAGAAATATTCGGAATTAAAATCGGATAGGAAATTGAAATTTCCGATAATTTTATATACCATTCCAATTTTGTTCAAAATAAGTTCGGAAGAATTGGAAATCGGAACTTCGAGAATCGGAATGAAAAATACGTTCTAAATTCGGATTTTTTGGATCGGAATAGGTGTCTAAATGTTTGCAAAAACTTATTTGAAAGCAGAAGTTAATTAGTAATTGTGAGTTAATGCCTGGTGTTTTCATAATTCTCCCTATATGATTGAGAAATTAAATATATATATAGGTGTTTGCAAAAACCTATTTAAAAACAGAAGTTCGTGTTGTGAGTCAAAATGAAATTAAATATTTATTTCTAAAAGTTGGAGGTGTTTGCATATTAGGTAAACAATCAATTAAAATAGAACGAAAAAAACATGTACTCGGGTGCTTTGAAAATTATAGTTTAAAACAACTTATTTTAAAATAAGTAAAAGCAAAAGCTTGTTTTACAAAAACCTAAAAACAGATTATGTGAAGAAAAAAAAGTTCATAATCCATTTTTAAAAGTTTCTACAAACACCACCAAGACATGACTAGGGGTGCAAGGTGGAACTGAAATTCCTAACTCCGCCGGTTCCGATCCGAGAAGTTCTAATTTTTGAAATAACTTTTTTATTCCGACTTCCAAAATTCCGGTTTTTCCATTTTTTTTTCCGATTGGAATTGGAATTTTATAAAAGAAATTTGGAATTTCCTATCCGATTTATTTTTCGGAATTAATCTGAAAATTCCGATTTTTTTTTTCCGAAAAATGCACGTATGATAATATATATTATAAATACTTAATTTTTTTTGATACATTAATTTGATTTAAGTTTTGTTTTGTGATTTTTAAATATTAAATTGGAAGTTTTATTAGACATTATGATGTGTTTAGTTTTATTTAGTTTTTTTGAACTAAAATTTTGTAATTATTAGTTTTACTTTTATCGACGTGGATGTTCTTATTTTTGGAAAATTATGAAAATGTCAGAAAATCTCCGCTAAGTTTTTAAATTTTACAGCTTATTTGACTTCCGATTTTTTTTTTTCCGAAATTATAAAATTTCCAGGACTTTTGGAATTGGAATGAATTTTTTAGATTTCGAAAGCTTTGGAATTAGAATTAATTTATCCATTTTTTTTGCAAATTTTCCGAAAAATGCTAATTTCGATGCAATCCATCCGACTTTCACCCCTAGACATAGACGAATGTTTATTTTAATTTTCGACACACACACAACGGAACTTTCAACCGCACATCACCCATTTATCATCTTACAAACACTCCCATGTGTTTGTCAAATTTTAAATTAGAGTTCTTAACTTTTAGAATTGATGATCAAAAAGCCTTTTAGGATTAAATTAGAAAAAGAAAATCGTTTAATTCAAATTTGGTCCATAAACTTATCTTTAAACTGAAAAAAATGAGGTTTCTACTTAGAGTGGATATTTTTTGAATGTATTTTGTTGGATAAAGAATATGTGGAAAAAATCTACCCAAAAAACTTATCAAACCTAGAAAAATTGGTGCAACAACCTGACCCTATTCACTACTACGTAGGGGTGTTCATTCGGTAATATCGTACCGAAGTGTACTGAAATATCGATAAACTGAAATTTCGGTACTCCAAAAATTTATACTGTTTATCGAACCGAACCATTCAATTCGGTACTATTTTTTTACTGCACTAATTCAGTTTTTTCGGTTCGGTACGATACAAAACCAAAAAAAATCATTTTTTTTAATGTTTAAAAATATATATTTAAACTAATTAATTCTTGAATTTGACATTCAGATTCCAATAATTGGCCCCAAAAAAAATGATTATCAAAAGAAGCTAGTTTGTAAATAATGGAAAAAATTACCAATCTAAAAGTATTTTATAATTTGTTATAACCGTAAATAATTTAAAATAAAAGAAAAAAATAAATACTTATTAAATATTTTTGTATTCGCTACGGTACGGTATACCGATCATCAATACAGTATACCGTACTGAATACCGGAATTTCAAAAAACATTAACCAAATACCGAATCAAAATTTTGGTCCGATCGAGCGAACACCCCTAGTGTACCTAGCGCACTTGAGTAGTGTGTTGTTAAACACATGTTTACACAAAATTCAAATCTCACTAGAATTCTGAACTTAATATCACACCCCACAAACAAAGATGACAAAATTATATTTAAGTGAAAAAATAAACTAAGTAACAAAGAATTAAGAATTTAATTTAATTTCTCAAGAAATCTGTATACAGTAGGTGATAAATATTTTCAAAATCTAAAATGTTCGGCATAATAAATTCAAAATCTAAAACAACTAAAACATTAGTCTTCTTTAATAATCTATCTGAACCTCGTCCTCTTTGCGGCGGCACCACCACTAGAGCCGCCGCCGCCGCCGCCCCTCGATTTTCCCATCGCCTTAATCTTCCTCCTCCTCCTCCTCTCATCCTCACTATCCGACTCCGCCCCATGCTCTCTATCGGCATTGCTAGCTTCTCTCTCAAGCTCCTCCCAAGTCTTCCCCTTCTCTTCCTCCGACTCTTCCTCCGAATCATCTTCCGATTCAACCAAAGACTCACTATCCGAATCATCATCTTCCGATGCGGAATCAGGCTCCACATCAGACGGCTCATAACCCAAATCAGACTCACCCGAATTATCCGAATCCGAATCCGTACCTTCCAAGTTCAAAAAATTCCATCCGCCATCATCGATAAACTTCTTCGGATCATCCATTATGGTCTTCAAAATCGGGCGCCAGTTCAGATTCAACCTGCTCTCGTAGTACTTAATGTCTGTTGTATCTAGCCATTCTTTAATCCCGTCAATCGAAGAAGACGGGATTGAATCAATCCTCATTACATCGCGCTTGAAGTCTTTAAAAACAATGGCCAAGTCGAAATTCTTCTGCGCAAGACCAACTCTCTCGAGATTGACAATCTCAATCTCGCTCAGTGTTATCACGACGAAAGGAGTCTCTACAAACTCAACCAAACAGCTCGAAGTTGGGACTATGAAAGACGATGACTTGTACGGAACACCGTAGAAACCGAGCTCTCGTAAAGGCTGGTCAAACTCTAAATCAAGGTCTCGAAACTGGGGCTGACCCCACAGATCGTGCACACGGTTAACGAAATTCTGAAAATCCATGTTTATTTTGTTCTTTCGATCTCTCTCCCTCTGTTCCTCCTCGATCTCATCCGGGTCGTAAGCGGATCTTTTTCCACCTCCGATTGTTTGGACCATCTCCATTACTTCAACATAGAACTGCACATCTTTAGTTTTCTTTGTTCCAACCATAATGTGATTGTGTAAGTGAAAGTGAAGGAGCGTAATCATCTCCTTCTCCGCTGGCTGGAAAAAGGCATGTTTTATGTTCGCGTACATAATATCCACACGCTCGTCATTTCTTGTAGTGGAGTACCGTAAACCGTTCGTATGTGCTTCGAGCGAACCCATTAACTTTCTCGCACGCCCTCCAAAAGTGGGGCGTATCCACAGATCATGCAATTTTATCGGCTTAAACTTGTTACCGGAAAGCACGAGTTTCTCCTGACCGACAAGAGTAGCCCTCTCAGCCCTTTCAGACTCCCTAGCCATGACATTACGCCGGAGGGTTTTAATCAGCCCCACCACTTCGCTTATGTGCCTCGAATCCTTTGAACGAAACGAAACCTCCTTCAAGTAAATAGCACTCTGATTCTTTAAAGAATTCGCATCGTGAGGAGTGAAGGGTGTGCCCGGCACATTGAAGACGATTCGTATGCAACAGTTTCGATTCGTTTCTTGCTGGCTGGTAACGGTCTTCACAGTAGCAACATGGAAAGGAACCATAATCCCGTAAACAGGTACTAGAATCGCGTCGTGCTTTTGGTCAATCTGAATCGTCATTCCCCTGGGCGGAGGAAGTTCGTTCACACTTTTATACGAAACTAGATCGTTTGCCGTCTTTGCAGCGGCTCTTCCATCTCCATTACTAGATCCAGCGCCAGCTAGGCGTCGAGCGGTTTCCTCATTCTTTTGGCGGGCGAGTTCGGCCTGATGCTGCTTACGGAGTACTTCCTTCGTCATCTCCCCATTGTCTGATCGAAGCGTTGCTTTGGCAAATACAACGTCTTTTTCTGTAGGCTCGTGTTTCACTTTCACCTCTTCTTCATCTTCACTGAACGAGTAGGCAACATCTTTCATAGCTTTTGAGCTAGCTGAGGTGGCAACATCACTACCATTATCCGTCACAATAATTGTATCGGCAAGCAGCATCGAAAAAGTCCGACTCTTTGGATTGCTCGTATTTGCTTGTAGGTTTTGGAAACCAAGTGATACATTGAAAACCATTCCCGCTTTAATCAATCGTTCGTTCTTTGCATTAAGACCCAACCCTGATTCACGAAACTCCAAACCGATGCCTGTCCCAGCAGATTTCGTCAGGTTCGGAACTAGCTCAGGAGCATCTCTCTTCACTACAGCAAGAGCTGCCTCATAAACAACACTCATATTCCTTCCAGGCTTCAATGCGAGAATAGCTGTCTCGTGAGCCTTAAGAAGAACTTCATAAGCCTTACTCTGCACGACATTCGAGTCAATAAGATATGTTCTTGCTATGTTAGAACAATAGCTGTTATAACTCGAGCCGATTGCACAAATGATGACACTGGAAGAGTCGTAGTACAAAAACTCGTCATCGCTCGAAGCAGTCGGTCTCAAATCGAATTTCCCCCCACTCTGAAAAATCGGAGGGTAACAGATATCCACGGTATCAGCCTTCGGGTTAAAACTCTTTAGGTTAAAACCAATCTTCACAGGGTCCAATATAGCTTTCTCCGTGTCGTTCATCAGCAAAGCATGTGTGACTTTCCTCTCCTCATCAATCACCTTTTCAACTTTCGGAACCACAAAGTTCTTCATTGCACAAGCAGTCAAGTACGACGCTTTCTTTACACACGTAATCTCGTTTTTGTCCTTAACGGCAAAAAGATCGGACAATCCATTCGTCATATCACTCAATAGCAGGCCCGAACCTTTCAATTTATCAGCCCACATCTCCAACAGTTCCCCTTCCGGGGCTTCTCTAGCAATATATCCGACTGAATTTGACACCGAACGAATAGAATCGAGAAGGGAATCCATTTGACTACTTCCACTGTCGTTTTTTGCCATCACATGCACGACAACATCAACACCAACGGTCTCTTTAGCAGACTTCTTCACAACCTCGATCAACGATGCCTTTTTCGGCCGGCACATAAAATGGATATGTTTGTCCGTGAAAACAATAATTGTCTCTGGAAACTCGTAACCAAGCAGCCATATATTCAGAGCCGAAGACTTGAGGTAGCGCAAATCGTTCGAAGGCGGTGGCGTGGCCACAACGAGCGCATCGGCAGAACCCCACAACTCGTCTTTGTGGAGACGCCAGTTTGTGTAAAGGACTTGCAGTCGTCTACTGAAAGTATTCACGTTAATTGTACATATAGACCCCCTTGATGCATTCCCATTTGCTGCCATATCACCCACCTGCCCAAGTTGAACAGACAAAATGAGTATATGCATTTAAAAACCATCAGACAATCAATAGATAAAAAGCGGTTAAAGGAGAATCGACGTACTTCTGGTAATTATCCAACCAATCAAATTATCGACAAGCTACTGCCCGGTCAATAACCTCGTCTATCTGCAGTTTAATATCACATGTGAAAAGCAATGAGCAATGAGAAATAAAGCAAAAAGACAAGAAATAATTAGATCAATCATTTTCCAAGTATAATAAACGACGAGCACAAATATTAGTTAACATTGCTGTTTATGCCGATAAAAATCAAACTAGTTTCCATAATCGAAAAAATATAGATATCGTCGAATTTCCCCGAATTAAAAGTAAGTAATCAACGCCACGAAATCGAAAATCTCAAGAATTCGATTCCAATTCTAAGAAACCCTAAAAAGCACCACATGCAGCCCAATACTAATATTTCCTCAAAACCCTAACATTGATTAGATGAATTAAAAAAAAACCCTAAATTGATTAGGAAAACTCTACGAAACCCTCATTTGGTTTACACAATCTTTGACCAAAAAACTCAATTTATTTCCGCAACAATTTTTTTTAATTTTTTTTTAATTTAGGGTTCTTGATCACTTAAAAGTAATATACAGAAATCCCAATTTCGAACAAGCAATCCAGCAGAAAACTCACATTAAATTTAACCAGAAACAATCACCACCGGATACAAAATAAAACTCCAATTGAATTCACAACTCAATTCACGAGACCACCGCCGAGCAGGAAAAAAAAATTGAGAAGATTTTTTCTTCGACGCGATCGATAAAAATTTGAGCAGAGAGAGAGAAAAAAACGGAAGAGCGGTAAACGAATGCGAGCATGCATCGAACTGAGCGCTTTTATAGTAGTGGGAAGGCTGGAAATTACGAGACTGCCATCACACGTGGCGGGTGAATCTTGTGGCGGTTGGACTAAAGAGTAAAGTCGACCACGTGCGATGGGTTTATCTTTGTGATGGGTAGTGGGAATTTGGCTTAATTTCCACTTTGCACCCTTGAAATATACCATCTTGGCACTTTGCACGCTCAAAATACAATAAATCGCTCACAATGCACCCTGAATTGAATAATAACTGCAGTTTCATTTTTTGTTGGTGTTTTTTTTTTTCGGGGTGCAAAATAATAGAATAAATTGCTATTTTCTTGAACCCTCCAACATAATTCGTTTGATGGATCTTTTATTGTAACTGGTTGAAAATATTTGGTAAAAATATTTAGAAGAAAATATGATTTTCACATAACTTGATAACAAAATACATGAATGATTTTTCTCCTAAAATTTTTTATTTTGATAAAATAATATAATTTTTAAATATGTTGATGAAATGTATTTTTATTTTTGCACTTTATAGTTTCAAAATGATAGATGAATAAAATAAATATTTGACATTTGACATCCTAAAAAGTATCACTGAAAGTATTAAATTAATTTTTTTAACTTTAAAAATTCATTTGGAGTGCATTATGCATAAATTATTGTGTTTCGAGGGTCCAAAGTGCTATTAATTTGTTTTGAGGGTGCACATTTTGGCATTTTGGTAGTAACAAAATAAAATAGGAATATAATAAGGCTTAATCCCATTTTGCACCCTCAAAACACAATAACCCATTCACAAATGCCCAATGAATTAAATATTTTAAACTTAATGAACCCAATTTCATTTTTTTGGTGTTTTTTTACATGGTGCAAAATAACAAATTAAATTATTATTTTTTTCTACTTTCAACCTAATTTCGAGCCTTAAGTGTGAAAAAGAAAAACACACCAAATTACTTTAAAAACTATATTTTCTTTAAAAAAATATTTTTTTTCTCAATAAGTTATTCGATTGATGGATCTTTTATTGTAATTGGTGAAAATATAATTTTTAAATACCTGCATAACAAAATAGCTGAAGGATATTTTTTGGAAAAATGAGAGATAACCCACTCAATACACAAAATAATAGAGTCGAGATCTATTTTATAATTGCACATTTGTAAAGAAATAAAAAACTGATATTATGAATTGTTGGACCCGCTAGGCTTATTGTTATTCCCCTACTACCCTTTCTTTCTATATCTTCTCATTTTTCTCTATGTTTCTCTGTATATTCTTTATTGAGTTATTTCTCTTATTTTCGTGATTTTTTTTCTCTCTCTTCCCCCTTTTTCTCTTACTTTCTATTCCACTCTCTCATTTCCCAACAAACGTGAGGGTTATTTATTACTCTCTCCTCTCTCCTCTATCTTCTTCCTCTATCTCTCTCCTCTATTTTTTTCCTCTTTCTCACTCTCTCATCTGTTTTCTTCCTCTTTCTATGTTTCTTCTTTCTCTCACTTTCTCCCCTTTCTTTCTCTCATTCTTCTCCACCTCATTTTTTACTTTATGAATCATATATTTATGATTTTTATTGATTGAGACAAAATTTTGTTGTCGGAATTCCATTTCGAATATCGGAATCTCGACCTTAAACTGAATATCAATATAGCTAACTGATGAAGGAGTTATAGTTGACTATCGAATTTTTTATAGTTGACTTCGGAAAAATTATAGTTGACTTTAGACAACTTATAGTTGACTAATCATTTTATAGTTGACTTTGGGAACAGTATAGTGGACTACCATCGAAAATTTGTGGGTGTTTTCTGTGAATTTGGGAATTAGGTTGCATTATTACATAAAATATACAAATCGTATTATATGTTGTAGGAAACTCGAATTTCATAGCAACCTACCTCTGTTCGATTTGTTTGAGTTCCATATTTTCATTCCTGCTTCTCCATGATTCGCACGTATGTAAATTTTTTTTGAACAAATATAGCAATCTAGGGTTCCAACGAAGGTCGTAGATAATTGGTAGATTTTTTTAGCGAATTTTTGGAAGAACTCCTACATAATCGCAGTAGTTTAGAGACTATCTATTTTTATATGAATATCCGTAATTATTGTAATATGGTGGGGGTTCATTTCTAACACAAAATGTGAGGGTAGTCTGGGTAATCCATAAATTGAGGGGGTTAGACTTATTAAAAATAATGAAGGATTGTTAGTACAATTTGTTTTTCTTAATGAGGGGATTATGTCTCATAAACCCTATTTTTTATTATTTTTTTATTAAAATATGTTTTTGTGATAAAAAAATAATTTTAAATATGTTGAGAAAATGTATTTTAATTTTTGCACTTTATAGTTTCGAAAGGATTGGTGAATATAAAAAAATATTTGACATTTGACATCCTAAAGAAATGGCTCTAAAATATTAAATTACATTCATTAGCTTTTAAAAATTCATTCGGGGTGCACTATGCATGATTTATTGGGTTTCGAGGGTGCAACGTGCTAATAATTTTTTTAAGGATGCAAAGTGTCAAAATGCTACATTTCTTTTTAAAAACAATGGCGGAACCATAATGAAACCCTTAACATGAAGGACTGGTTAATAATCTAGTAATTTTGAACTTTGACAGCCGGTTTCGACACGTGAACCGATGGTTCACGACCCATCGTCACCTTCGGTAATTTTCTTACACCGAGAATGCAGTGTTACTAAAATATAATTTTTTGAAAGTGAAGATATTTGATATTTTTGCGTGATGTTCGGGTAACTCTACTATTGTCAGTGGCGGCGGTGATATTTGCTAGTGCCCTTGATCGTGCCATTTTTTTAAAATAAAACAGAGAAATATTAGTAGTTTTTGTTAGAATTGTTAAAGTCATTTTTATTTTTCCCCGCAAAGCATATTGTATTTTTTGGTATCTTGATTTGCTTATCAACATTTGTTAAATTTGACTACAAAAATTTCGTAGTGGATCACTTTAATTTCGTAGCATACTAGTTTTGTAGTGGATTTACATTAATTTTATAGTGGATTTCCATTAATTTGTAGTACATTTCGATAAATTTATAGTAAATTTTGATTAGTGTGTAGTGGATTTCAATTTTGGTAAACGTGTTATCAATCTACTCAAGAAATACAAGGGAATGAGCCGTTTTTGGCGTCCCAACTGATGAACAAATTCATAGACCAGGCACAAGTTTTCAGGAGTTAACCGTTTATGGACAAAGCCGAGCATACTGCCGCCATTACAAGATATCATACAGTCATGGCAGCCGCATTTGGGCGGGACAACAACCAGAACCAACTTGCAAGATAAATACTTCAAACGCGAGAATGATGAATTCGATAAACAACTTATCGCTACCAGGCGTTTCGTTTGTCCTGCTAGTGAAAGAAATACCGGGATATCCTTTTAAATTCCTCAAGCGCCTGCAGTTGACATTGTTGTCTTCAACAACAACTATAACGTGAACAGTAACCCGCCGGAGAATTTGATGCCTCTTGTTTTCCATGCCCTCAATGCACTTTCTACTGCCAATGTGGGTTTACCAAGGGATCGTCTTAGATCCATCTATTGGTTCTATAACGATCCCAAACTAGTGATAGGCAAGAATGCGGTCCGTGCACAGGGTGGTTTGGCGGTTGTTGCATTGAACAAATTTCATAGTCAATAGTATTTTGAACAAATTTAGTCCATTAATCTTTTATCGTAAGATTCTAATTCCTCGATTGAAAGATTAAAAAAAAAACTAAAAATAGAAAGGAAACAAGGAATTCATACATGAAATATATGGAGAAAAGAACATTTGGTCTTATTGTCTCTTATTCTGGATGTGTGTTACATTCTGACATACTATAGTACAAACAATCCTAAGAGTTCCAAGAGTGTTCCTTAATTAAAGACTTCAATGGTTTACAACTGTTGGGGCTAAATACCTAACACGCAAGTGCACGTATCGCAAATAAGTAGTAAAAGTGGACTCGTGAGAGTCGGATGTCGATCCCACAGGGAATACTCAAATTATCTAATCCTAAGTACCAAATTCTAACAATTATGATTTTTATTCAGCCTACGCAAAGTTGTCAAATTTAATCAACTAAATAATTAAACTAATTATGAAAGCAAATAAACACTAGAAAATATCAATAAAAACGGACCTAGGATTTTATCTTCCCCTATGCAAGAATTGCTCACCCAAAACCCCTCAATTATGAAATATATGATTCATGATTATTAACCCGAGACACTAATTTACTCATAACCCGTTGTCGCGTGTATTATGAG